CTAGCCCGGATTTCTCGATAGATTATGATTCAACATTAAATTTGCTACAACTTTGCTAATTTAACCGTTTCTCTATCTCTCATAGTTACTGAGATCCCAATGGTGAGGATCGAATTTGGGACACACTGTATTTTCACTCAGGTTATTGGGGACTCCATGAATTGGAAGAAATCCTTACGTATCTGTGCGATACCGCCCTATGTGTACTCGATTCCATCATTTATTCGATGAACTTCAATTCTCAACATGGATAGTGTGTTTTTTCTATTTGATATACGAAAATTTATGATTATTATAAATTATAATTAATTGTCTAGATATTAGGCATCACCCTGTTATCAATATTTCAGTTGATCGAATTATTCTTCAAACAAACTCATTATCAAGGTAGAAATTCTATCAACAAGTCGTTTTTTGGAGCTCATAGGGCACAAATTCACTTAGAAAAAAAGTCTGTTCTACCACCCTTGAAGGCAGACAATCCAACATTTGAATCGCTGTTGCTCGACAACTATACCTTTTCAACTTCAATTTCGGAATCGGTAAGTTATATTTCGGAGAAGGTAAACTCGATTTCAGAATTGGTTGGTTAGATTTCAGAAATAGTAAACTCAATTTCAGAATCGGTGAGTTGAATTTCAGAAAAAGTCCATTCAATTCCAGAAATGATAAATTGTATTTCAGAAGTGGTAGGTTCAATTTCAGAAAATAAATCATTATATTTGTTTGAAATGTTTTCAATTGCATGTGAAATTAACAATCCATATTAACAATATCTAACTTTCCATAAACAATTTGATAACATAATTATAATCTCAATTTAATACACAGACATGTCTTCCATCCGAAGCGCAGAAGGATAGTGGCGTTGCACATGATTATAAGAATATAAACACATTCGAGGTTTTATCATTCTCATTGAATGATCTGCACATTCTTCAAGACATCGCAGTCTGAATTCTATCTGGTTGAGCAATCTGTTTGGATCCCCGGCTTTGACCCTTTGGCGATGCTCTTGCAAAAAGCTCTTCACTTCTGACTTGAAGGCACTTTATATATGTTACATCGGGTTCAACATAGGGCTGTAAGGTGCCAATCTGCAAAATTTAATATCTTGAGATTCTTCCTCCATGCATATCTCTTCTATTCTTCAATGTGCAGGTGCATAATCCAGATCTACCACTATGGTATCTGCAGGATGCCTATTCCAAACGCAGGCTCTCAAACACCGTTTCATCCACAGTGAACAATAATCTTTTCTATTGAAGCCTTCCTGGTTTCGTTCCCAATGTTCCATGCCCATGGGAGACATGCATCCAATAACATAAAGATTTCTTTCTGAAATTGAACTCACCAATTCTGAAATACAACTTACTATCTCTGAAATTGAATGGACTTTTTCTGAAAGTCATCTCACCGATTCTGAAATTGAGTTTACCATTTCTGAAATCGAACTAACCAATTCTGAAATCGAGATCACTTTTTCCGAAATATAACTTACCGATTCCAAAATTGAAGTTGAAAAGGTATAGTCATAGGATTGAGTTGGGCCCATGAGCGCTTTTGATCAGGATATCACAAACTACAACATACTATAATTCCAGCTGATTTGACCAGGACCCAAGAACCCATAAGAGCGGTGCGGGGTCCTTCATCTAATCATTGACAGGTAATTCTGTCAAACAAAAAAATCTATCGGTAGATCACCTACTCTGATGAAGTTGAAATTTGAAGACTGACAAAGGTATTCTTGTATTGAAATTGGATTTTGAATTACGAGTTCAATAAAAATGCATCAAAATGGAGTCGAATATTTGAGGAAATAGCTCATTTATTTTATCCTGCTTTTCCTGGGTAACAGAACAGATTTACAACATTTTTCTATACAGACTGTTGTTTTTGAAATAGAAGATGTTATCTGTTTTTTCCTTGAGACGGACCTGGAATCCGATCTAAACTTTTATTTAGTTTTTTCATTAGTCATATGAGTGAAATATATCCACAAAGTATAAATAGATTATATAAGGTGGTCAGAAAATTATGATCCAATGATGATTTGGCCAAAATCAAGATAACAAATAAGATAACTTCTTCTATACCAGTTATAAATGACGGTCCCAGTTAACACAGGATGTCTTATGGATATCCATTTCAAGTCCTAATCAAAGCGGGATATCCGTGGACATAAAATGTATATCCATAAGATATCCGATTGCAGATGTACTTGAGATATCCGAAACAAACGTCCTGAATACGTCTATAGGATATCCATAAGATATACCAAGAAATTTCAAATCAATAAGTATACAGTCTGTCCAAGATAAGGTTGAACAGCATGGGGATCTCGGAAACGGTAGGAGATACGAAGTCGCTTGAATAGGGAAAAAGTTGCGCATTCGGAGGCTCATGTCAAGAGCCTTCGGAAATTTTTGAAATTATTTTTAGTTTTTGAGTTATATCGAAAAAAGTGAATTTTTGGAATTTCTATTTTATTTTTTTT